AACGTATTTGACCGACATCTATGATTATTGCAATATATATATATATAGCCTGACAGATTTTTCTTGTTTTGTGTTTATCAATTCGGAAAACTTCTTGAGGAAATTCTCGTAATGTCTTTATCAACTATCTTTCTGCATGATTTTCCTGTTCCTAATGATGGTTCTCAAGGACCATTTGAAGTTAGTATCATTCATTTGCTATCGTGGCTGATTGTTATTATCTTTTTTTTCGGTTATAGTTAACAACTGTTCCTTCTCAACGAATAAATTTTCAAAGTTAATCGATGTTTCTTTTATTATTATACGACTCATTATCAATAGAAAGTCTTCTCTAAATTGACTTTGTTTGATTGTCTATAATATTATATTATTATAAAATATTAATGATTATAAATAACTATTGAACTTTCTCAGTTATCGAAAAGACAAGAAATCTAATAATATAAATCACAAATTCTTATCGAATATCGAAAGAATTAGAAGAAGGTAGCTTAATAATTTCTATTGTTCTTTTTTGGTACTGGTGCACAAAACCTTTATCAAATTGTATGAGTAATCCTTAAAAGCAAACAATATATTTTTTATTTATTTTTTATTCAAGAAACTGATCCTAAGGTCCTAGGAGCGCATATAAATAAAAGACTAGAGAGCATGAGAGAGAATATCAGAATGAAGCGACTAAAGTAAAGATGAAGGGAGACACATAAACACGCTAGAGTGTTACATAAATAAAGAAATGGAATTGTTAAAAAAAAAATTAAGAACCATGCGTATTGCAGTTTTCATATTTTCTTTTGAATTTTGTTCTTCTTATTCTCTTTTTCATTGATGGAACAGCCGCTTGATATATAAACAACGAAAATCACAGCAAATGTGATTAATGTTCCACCTCCGAAAAAAAGTGAAATGCCTACTTCTACCTATAATAATGATCTTTTTAATGTATTTAAAATGTAATTGGTCATACTTGACGAGAAGTTGCTTGACCATAACGGCATTCAGTTACGAAGTGTTCGCAATTTTTGTCAAGTAAACCATAACCTTTTGTACCGAGAGCATTTTCAGCCTTTTCAACAATAACTGAAATTGGTAATGGTCTATAACAGAAAAAAATTAAAAACTTATTTATAGAATTCATATCAAATGATTTATTTTTTAGCCTAAAATCCATATTTTTTCTCTTCATTAACAATTATTAATTATTATATGACTCAGATAGGAGATACTCGAAATTTTTTATTCGTAAAAGGGAAGAAAAACTATTTTACTTATCATAAAAAACCCTAGACAGTTTTTACAGTAACTCTAATATTTTAGTGCAGCTATTAAATTTAATTTCAAAAATTATATATATTTTTGTTTCATAGTCGAACATTATATCTTGTCTAAATACTTTATCCAGCTAATAACATACTTTTTTTTGTCATCAAGAAAATTGTGGATTTGAAGATCACCATCGTACGCCATTATATCGTTTATTTTTGATTTCCAAACTTGAGCATTGCTCATATCACCATTAGGATCCCATCGATGAATTATTTCACCATTTCCTAAAATAATTTTTTTATTAAAAAAGAAAGAATAAAAAGCAATTTATTTACCTGTATAAATCCCCCAATGACTGTGCAAACCTCGTTGAAATTTCAACATATCACCTGCTTGTGCTTTGCTAATCACCTCTAAATTCTTCTCAAAAGTTTCAATTTTAATTTTTGAGTTCATCAATAATTATTTAGAAATCTAAAAGTTGCAAACAGTTATATGATTAAATATATGTAGAGAGAAGGATATACGGAAAATCTCCAGTATGAATGGACGTCACAAATAGTCTCATTTGTTTTAACAAATAAACAGCCATATGATTGTCGTATAATGTCAACCTATCGAAAATATCTTTCTTCAAGTTTTTGTGCCTCAATAGATGCCAGCAATTTTGTGTTTATTTTTTGTTCTCTATAGGTAAAAATAACCGTTTTTCATGTTCTTTAATTCTATGCTATACTATAAACATCAGGATAAAGAATTTAAATACAATAATGACGGTGTCATTAATATTTTCTTTTTTCATTTTTTTCTCTTCTCCTAGATCTCTCAGCAGTAACAGTTATGAATGATAGATCATTCAGTGATAGTATAAAATTTCAGTAGTACAAAAAAAAAGATAAAGTAAACATTCTTAAAAACGATGATCAATGGAAAACGTATTTGACCGACATCTATGATTATTGCAATATATATATATATA